CCAGGCAGAACAGGTAAGAATCTCAGGAGCCAGGAAGGGGGGAGGGGGAGGGGGTGGTCAGGGAAATCCCTGGGGAAAGGGGCCACCGAAGGGCTTGGCAGCACCAGGACACCGGGTGCTGTTCTTCGTGGGAAAGCTTTGAGCTTCTCCCCAGAAGGATGGTGATGAGCTGTAGGTGTTTTGTAGACGTTCTTTATCAAGTTGAGGAAGTTCCCCTTACTCCTAGTTTGCTGCCAGTATTTATCATGAACAGGTGTTGGCTTTTGTCAAATGCTTTTTCTGCATCTGATCGTGTGAATTTCCTTTTTTAGGCTGCTGATGTCAAGGATTTCACTAATTGATTTTCAGATGTTGAACCCGCCTGGGATAAATCCCACTTGGTCACGGTGTATAATTCTGGGATTCAGTTTGCTAATAGTTTGTTGCGGATTTGTGCCTCTGTGTTCATGAGAGATACCGGTCTGTAGTTTTCCTTTCTTGTCTGCATCTGGTTCTGGTATTAGGGTCATTAGGACACCCTTTCCCAAAACACAGTGATGACTGAGAAATCCAGCAGCCTGCCCACTGTGAGGCCCTGAGCAAGGCACTTTCAGCTCACGTCAGAGCTTTACTCCAATCCTGCAAAACAGGACTTGTCACCCGCGCCCACTTTATGGATGTGGGAACGATGGCTGGGGAAGGGGAGGTGATTTGGCCAACTGCGTAGCACCCTGGGTCATCAGATGAGAAGCCTTCCCTCTTAGCAGAGTCTTTGTCCCTGAGCTGACTGCCTTGGGGGAATCTGAGGCCAAGGGGGGCAGCGGAAGGCCGGTACCTGCAGCTGCTGCAGCTCACTCATGTTACTCTCGCACTGGGCCGCCATGTCCCGCATCTGGTTCTCATGTTTTTGCTGCTGCTGCAGCCGCTCTGCCTTCTGCCTCTTCTCCTCTTGCTGGGAAAACTGCAACAGAGAGAGGGGTGGGTGCCTCAGGGACCTCAGGCTGGGCTGGGGGCCCACCTCGGGCCGTTCCAGGGAGGCCCTGTCAGAGGGACTAGTACCCCACAGCACTCAGGCTGTGCCCCCTCCCCTGTTTTAAGTTCTCCCTCTGAGCTGAGACCCAGCCCCTGCCCTTGAGGCTGGTGGGGACAGGACACTGTGCTGGGACGTGTGCTAGGACAGCGTGTGTACCACGCAGGAGCGCCTCCCAGTCTCTGAGCCACACTGGTGACATGCAAGTGGGGTCATGGTGGATGAGAAGGGGTTTAGCAGGAGAGGAAGCTGCAGGGTAGAGGCACTGCAGTGTGAGGGAGCAGGCATGAGCAGGTCTCGCCAAGCTTCCTCTGTCCACCAGAGAGGGGTCCCGGGGAGGTTATGAGGCTTCTGAGCTGTGTGACTTGCACACCTCTTTCCAAGACCCTCTGCGGCACCTTCTATTTTATGTTCGCCAACCTTGTAAGGTAAACCTGACCTGTGCCCGCTCCCGCACCCCACGGGCCTACCTGCTTGATCTTCTCGCGCTGCTCGGCAGCGCTGCCCGCCCCGCTGATGTGCAGGCTCTTCTTGTACATGGCCATGCGCGTCTTGCCCTCGCTCCTCTGGATCTTGGGCAGCCGCGCCTTCTCCTGCTGCTGCCGCACCTTCAGCTGCTCCACCATGCGCTGGTTGTAGCGCTGCATCTGCTCCCGCTCCTGAGGGGGACAGGCGGCGGGGCCGAGGTCAGCTGCGCTCCGGGCACGGGGTGTACGGTGTGTCACCAGGAGCCCAGGACCCACCTGGCCCAGAATGCTCAGCAGAGCAAGGCTGTATCATTTCACACCTGCTGCTAAGTAACATTGTCTGTTCTCACTTTAAAAATTGTTAATAGT